ATGATGGTAGGTGCCTGTAATCCCAGCTACTCAGGAGGCTGAGGCAGAGAATCACTTGAACCGGGAGGCGGAGGTTGCAGTGAGCCAAGATAATGCCATTGCACTCCAGCCTGGGCGACAGAGCAAGACTCCATCTCAAAAAAAAAACCAAAAAACAAAAAACAAAAAACAACTTCCTCTTAAAATCTGCAAACATTATCTTTTATTCAGGGACCTTAAAAACAACCAGAGCTTCTAGCAGTATGTCAGAAGGAAAATTTTTTTTAATTAAATAAACATAGAAAAAAAACAGAGCTTTGGGCCAAGCCGTAAAGCCCATCTGTTAGAGATATGAGATGTTTGCTGCTATATTCCTAACAAGATAAAAAAATTTTAATGTTTAAAGATGGCCCATCAGAGCCTAGCACAGGTCTCGCTTTGTTATGTCACTGACACAGATGACACACCAAGGACTTAATTTTCTTTTTTTTTCTTTTTTTTTTTTTTTTTTTGAAACAAAGTCTTACTCTGTCACCCAGGCTAGAGTGCAGTGGCAAGATCTTGGGTTCAAGTGATTCTCCTGCCTCAGGCTCCCTAGTAGCTGGAATTATAGGCACCCAGCACTGCACCCAGTTAAGATTTTTGTATTTTTAGTAGGGATGGGGTTTCACCATGTTGGCCAGGCTGGTTTTAAACTGACCTCAGGTGATCCACCTGCCTCAGCCTCCCAAAGTGCTGGGATTACAGGCTTGAGCCACTGCGCCCAGCCAGATTTAATTTTCAATTCTACCAAACTGAGATAATGAGCCCCCAAATCCCTCAGCATTTACCTTTGCCTCAAGAAGAGGTTACTGACCTCTATAAGGATTCTTCTCAAGAATGAGCTGCCAAAGAATAACCTTACTTCATGCATAACACAGCTGTGAGACCAGACTCCACCTCATTGCCTTAATATTTGCTTCACACAGGGCCAAGCATGGTGCTTTGCACATAGTAGGCACTCAACAAACATTTATTGGACAAAGAAATAAAGTTAAAAATAAACCTATAAATACAAAGAGCATACTTTATCTTCCCTTCTGCTCTCAAAAAAAAAAAACAGATAAAAGTCTGTTTTTTTTTTGAGAACAGAAGGGAAGCTAGGTAGAAGAGAGTCTGCTAAACTCTAAAGATAAAAAGGAATGGCTTTTATAGACACACTGACACTGGGAGAGCTTATTCCTTCATTCATTCACCCAACAAATATTTATTGCGCACCTATGTACCAGGTACTGTTCCAGGTGTTGGAGACCCATACTAAGAGAGATGGATAAACTCCCCTACCTTCATGGAAATTATATTGAGACAAAGTAGTCAAAAGCATAGGCTTTGGAGTCCAGTTTTTGAATCCCAGTTCAATCAGTACTAGAGAAGGTAGGAGTGTAGTTCACTGCTTAGCTTCTTCGCCCTAAATATAGAATATTCCTAGCAAATTAGTTCTAAGTAGAACACCAAAAAAATTTAATGGAGAGAATAGTACCTATATTATGGTATTATTTATGAGGATTAAGTAAGAATCCATGTAAAGCAATTAGCAAAGTACCTGGTACATAGTAGATTTTTAATAAATTATGTACTCTGAGCACAGCTATGCCCAAGTTAGTCCTATCACATTCCTGTTTGTTTCTTTCAGAGCCATTATTTTGGTTGGCAGTTACCTTACCTGCTTGTTTATTATCTGACTCCTGCACTCCTCCCAAGTGTTCAATGTTAACCAGGTGGCAAAGTTAACTAGAAAGAGGAAACTCACATAATTACTCTAGAAGAAGCTCCCTAACTACAGATTAGACGGAAAAGAGATGAAGGGTGCTGCACTAATAAAAACCATTTTCAACCAAAGCAGGATTCTGGGCCTATTTTTTCTTTTTCTGAGATGGAATCTTGCTCTGTTGCCCAGAGCTGGAGTGCAATGGCACAAGCTCAGCTCAATGCAACTACTGCTTCCGAGGTTCAAGCAATACTCAGCCTTCTGAGTAGCTGGGATTACCGGTGCGCACCACCATGCCTGGCTAATTTTCGTATTTTTAGTAGAAACAGGGTTTCACCATGTTGGCCAGGCTGGTCTCGAACTCCTAACCTTGTGATCCACCTGCCTCGACCTCCCAAAGTGCTGGGATTACAGGCATGAGCCACCACACCCAGCCATACTGTCTTGTTTCTTACCTGCTAATTAGCCAGCTGAGCCCAGGGGCATTTATAAGTGGCCTCAAGCCCAATTATTGATTTTTTTTCCCAGAGGCAGGGAGGGCTTGAGTCAAATCACCTTAATTCTCAGGGGAAGGGCAGCAGTGAGCATCCAGGGTACCCTGTAATGGCCCAGGCCTACTCTTGTCCAGCACTGCACCACCAAGATGTTGAACTTGAAAGTACTATGCCTGACCAGGAGGGACCTGCTGCCTAGAGCTGCCATTCTGATCCTTGGAGCTCATATACAGACACACCAGCAGCCATGGGGCAGGGAGAGATATACCAATGCAATCGAGATCAATACTTGCTTACACCCTGACCAAAAGCATGATGTCCCAGGCTCTGCCTGCAATTCTACCATCCTCTTCCATCTTTCTCTCTTATCAAGTCTCCACCCTCCTGTGCCCCAACCTTTGTACTTAGATTCTCCTCTGCCAAGCCCATTCAGACTGTGACTGGTAGGAATGTTGTGCTCAGCTTTCCACTTGAGTGTTTATCCAAGAAGTTGTCCTCTTTCAGATTATGGCCTCCATTCCAGTGTACCACAGCCTATGGGGATGCAACCCACTCACCCTTGGACACAGAGTAGGCCTCAGTGCCCTGGTCTCTCACTTGCCTGAGATCAGACTCTAAGTATCAAGCGCAAAGCCATGGTGAGGTCTTGCTTAGGTGGTTTGTAGCTAAAATTAAACAAGCAAATGAGGATAATACTAGTTGGCATCTACTGCATGCTCACACTGTGCCAGGCACTGTTCTAAGCCCTTTCTAAGTACAAACTCACTCATTCTGCCCAACCTCCCTATGAGGTAGGTCCTGTTATTAACCCACTTTACAAAAGAGGAACTGAGGCTTAAGGAGGCTGAAAACTCAGCACTACAGGAAAAATAAAAATAAAATTTAAATTAAAAAAAAAAAAAAGAGGCCAGGGACATTGCCCAAAGTTACAAGCTAGAACATGGCATAGCCATGATTCAAACCCACAGATCATGCGCCTATAATGCAGAAAAATATGAATATACATTCAGCCACTTTCCACAAGAGGCCCACAACCCAGCAAGGGAAGCAAGCACAGACACTGAGTTTTAGCCAAAAAATTCAGTTTTTCAATTCACAGATCATGGCTTTTTTTATGATTCTCTTCATAAAACAGATATAAGTATAATATCTGCTGATGAACAAAACAAAACTGACCAAAACCAGAAGTACAGGACAATTACATAACCTCTTAAAACAGGAAGTGACTCATTAAGAAAATATTTTCTCATTCTTTTTTTTTTTTTTTTTTTTTTTTCCTTTGAGACAGAGTCTTGCTCTGTTGCCGGACTGGAGGGCAATCTTATACGAGTACTAATGGCTAAAAAGGAGAGGACACTTATCTGCAGCTGAGGAGACATTTCTCACATCTAACCAAAAATAGGACATGAGCAGGCAGGATTATATCTGAAATCCTGGAAAATTTAGTCTTATATTTAATTCGACCTTCTCCTCCCATAAAACTCCTCTCCTCCCGTAAAACTCCCCATGGTAACATTTTAAGTAAGTCTAAAAGACAGTTCTGACTCATCTTAAGAGAATTGTTGGGAAGCTCTAAAGCTGGAAATACAATAATCGATACTTTTAAAGAAGAGCTAAATAATTAAATAAAACGTCATTCCACTTTTCTAGGCTCTTCTTATTCTCTTTTGATGCATCACCAGTGATTCAGTTTGAGTCAGATATCCAACAACAACTGAGCTAAAGAGTCAACTCAGATTGAAGCAATGGTGACGCACAGATAGAAGAGACTGAGGCCAACAACCAAAGCAAAGGACAGCAGAACTGACACATTGCTCAGAAAATACCCAGAGCTCTGTAAGTGAACACACATTTATCACTTCTTTAATGTTCCCAGGAAAGCTTTTGTAGTCTATCTAGGTGAAATGATAGGGCATGTGATAATATCTGAAGCCAGCATGCCTTCCATTATTATCAATGTCCCTCTGTATTCCAGCATTCCTCGCTTCTACAGCATCCAAATAAAAAGACGAGACTAAAGCTCACCAACTAACATAAATGATGTCTTTGTGCTAGAGACACTGTTACATGTTCCTCAAACCCATTTCATTTTCCTCCTGACATACAGCTAATTTCTCCTTGTCCACTACAGTTAGATGGAGCCACATGACTGAGTTCTGACCAATGAATGGGGTGGAAATGATGCATATTATCACCTTTAGGCCTGGTCCCTAAAATCTCTTATGTGATCCTCCACACATTCTCTCTTCCCTTATCTGCTAGCCAGATGCAGAGGACTCTGCAGAAAACTCCAAGACCTCAAGAGATGATGGAGCCATTGAATGGCGACATGGAACAAAGCTCCCCACTAGCCTGTGACAAGAATGAGAAACAAGTCTCTATTATAGTGTTGAACCACATATTCTTTTTTCTTTTTCTGTTTTGAGACAGAGTCTTGCTCTGTCACCCACACTGGAGTGCAATGGCATAATCTTGGCTCACTGAAGCCTTGACTTGACCTCCTTGGGCTCAAGTGATCTTTCTGCTTCAGCCTCCCACGTAGCTGGGACCACAGGTATGCACCATCACACCAGCTAATGTTTAACTGGTCTCAAGAAATCCTCCCATCCCAGTCTCGAAAAGTGCTATGATTCCAGGCATGAGCCACCGCACCTAGCCTGAAGCAGATTGTTGCACTGGTTTGTCATGGCAGCCGGTGCTGATCACTCTGATGAATACAGCTTGCCCGTGCCATGATCTCAATGTGGGGGAACTAGTTAAACTGCAGTTTCCACACCTACCTGTCTCATTGCCAATGCAATCGATTATCAGGCAGATTCCTAGGGGCTTGCTCTTCATCTTGTATCTCTCTTCAGGTATGCTCTGGAAAGGAAGGCAGGAATTGCTAAAGACTCCTGATATTGCTCTGTTTCTATAAGGTCCCACCCATATGCCACCTCTTCTTCAGGATTTCCTTTGGCAGGTGAGTCACTCAACAGACAGAGCCTGAAATTTCCCATTACGACAAACGTTTCCCATTAATATAAATTTTTCCTCTATTAGGGTAATATGCTAAGACAAACACATTATTTTCCTTTTTATTTAATTTTAATGAAAATCTCAGTTTCTTTATTGGCTTTGTGGAATAAAGATAATTTGAAAAAGAGAAAACATGAGTCATCTGTCTCCACAGTAACCTGAAGTTATATAAGTGGTATCTTCCCAAGTACAAAGGGAGGCCTTCGATTGCCTCTGCTTACAAAGAGGTGTCAACTTAAGAAAAAGCCAGAACAAGTCAAAGTTCAGTGAAGTATCACTGCTGACTTGTATGTTCAGCAGTCACTCAGCTGAGACAAGGGGTGCTATTTTGGAATTTCCCTGCATTAATGCAGGGAAGTCCATTAATGCAATCCACTTAAATATCTTTCTCTTTGTTATTCAGGGTTCCCTTGTATGGAAGTTCTCAGGAGAACAACACTCTCAGCATCCTATTGTCACAAAGAATTCTTAATGGACAGATATTTTTAAAGAAGTCAGGGTTCTCCACAGCTATGGAGATACAATACCAAATCGGATCATTTATTCTGTACCTGAGGCAAAAAAGCTTCTGATTCCTGAATGGATGTCTTCACTGGTTCTTCTGGGGGATGAGAGAGACAAACCATTTACAAAGCTGAAGAACTAAGTCCACCCCCACACTGGCTGAGTTTCTTTGTATCACAACTGTCCTCCCTTCCTATTTTCTTCAATTATGTCTTCTTTCCCCAGCTATACTTGGCCCCAAGGTTCCAACCTCACATTGAAGAAACTGGCATAAGAAAACACAAGTCCCAGTGCTACCAGGGGCTACCTAGAAAAGCTGCTTAAACAGCAAGTGAAAGAAGGCTCTCCCCTACCCAGCTCCAGGTGAAGAACAGGTGGCTGGTGAGTTTTTAACTTGATAGTAGAATCTAATAACCTCACCACCCAATAATATTGATAGCTTTCCTATATGTGCTGAAACTGTTGACAATACCTAAAGGGAACAGACTTAATGCAAAGCAAGGAAAGCTTATATATGTTTGCTAGTTATAAAACAGATGGCAGTGTTTTCACAGTCCAGTGATACTGGGAGACCATAAAATAAAATGTCAATGGCAAGACAGTGGCAATAGGGGCAGTGAGCCCGGCAAATCGAGATAAGCCTAAAACAAATTTTGCTAGACAAAAAATGACTTGATTAGGTTAGGGAGGTGGAGGAACCACCAGTTTTGAGCCGAGACTGTGCCACTGCACTCCAGCCTGGGAGTAAGCCACTTGGGTAAGACTGAAGTCCTCCATCGCAGCCCATCAGTCCCTGCTTCCTGGAGTTCAGAAACATAACCATGTGCTTTACCAGTCTAAGACTGAGTCTCAGCTCTCACTTCAAGGAGGACTCAAAACAAGCAAAATAAGTAAACTTTTGCTGGGTGCAGTGGCTCACACCTGTAATCCCAGCACTTTGGGAGACCAAGGCAGGTGGATTACGTGAGGTCAGGACTTTGAGACCAGCCTGAACAACATGGTGAAACGCTATCTCTACTAAAAACGCAAAAATGAGGCCAGGCACGGTGGCTCATCCCTGTAATCCCAGCACTTTGGGAGGCTGAGGCAGGTGGAACACCTGAGGTCAGAAGTTTGAGATAAGTCTGAGCAACAGGGTGAAACTCCGCCTCTACTAAAAATACAAAAATAAGCTAGGCATGGTGGCACAAGCCTGTAACCCAGCTACTCAGGAGGCTGAGGCATGAGAATCACTTGAACCTGGGAGGCAGAGGTTGTAGTGAACTGAGATGCACCACTGCACGCCAGCCTGGGTGATAGGGCGAGACTCTGTCTCAAAAAAAAAAAAAAAAAAAAGCTGGGTGTGGTAGCACTTGCCTTTAATCCCAGCTACTCAGGAGGCATGAGAATCACTTGAATTCAGGAAGTGGAGGCTGCAGTGAGCCAAGAGTACACAACTGCACTCCAGCCTGGGTGACAGAGTGAGACTCTCTCAAAAAAAAAAAAAAAAGAAAACTTTTTAAAAATCATCTATGGGATCAAGTGCTAATGTTTTAAGACAGAAGACAAGAGATCATGTGGGTTGAAATGGCTAGTCTTTAAATTGCATGTCTTCTTTCCTTTTTAGGAATGGGGGGATATCATCTGTAGAGTATCCAGATTTATTAAATGGGCTATAAGACAAGAACTTATTTACCTTTTCTCTTCCTGCTGCTAGATATTCGGTTTAACATGGTTCATTATTATGGTTGGATGAATGTTTAACATAGCCTGGTTATAGTTCCATTCCATTTCAGTTTATAAACGTCACATCTCTTAAAATATAGCCAAGATGATGACGCTGATGAAGTACGATGGTATTCAAACTTAGATAAGCTAATTCAATAGACAACTAGAAATGCCAATGAGTCTATCTAACAGCTTAGTTTTTATTTTGAGAACTTACTTAGACTATGTAGATAAAGGAAATGGCCAACTCTAAAAATGCAACATTTGTACTAGAATTATCAAGCATTTATAAAAATGAATATAAAGAAAAACTGGTCTTACGTTGAGTGCCAAGTTGTTCCTTAAGTCTTTGTTCTTTACTTCTCCCATTATGGAGCTTCAAATATAAAGAATAAGGTCACACTCTGGTCGGTTATTTCAGAGGCACACAATATATTACACCTCTTTAAATGTCTCCATAGAATTCTTAACCCAGGAAAACAATTAAAATATCATCCGCACAGTTAAATTATCTAAAGAATAGCAAGAGCTGTTAACTTCATAAATCCCATATTATATTATCAAAGAACAAGGAAATTCTGCTTTTAAGATGAAAATAGGCTGGGGGTGGTGGCTGACACCTGTAATCCCAACACTTTGGGAGGCCAAAGTGAGTGGATCATCTGAGGTTGGGAATTCAAGACCAGCCTGGCCAACATGGTGAAACCTCATCTCTACTAAAAATACAAAAATTTGCTGGGCATGGTGGCATGCGCCTGTAATTCCAGCTACTTGGACGCTGAGACAGGAGAATCACTTGAACCTGGGAGGCAGAGGTTGCACTGAGCTGAGATCATGCCATTGCACTCCAGCCTGGGTGACAAGAGTGGAACTCTGTCTCAAAAAAAAAAAAAAAAAAAAAAAAAAAAAAAAAAAAAAAAAAACGAAAATATAAGGAAAGTATAATTATGCTAAGAAGCTAGCATATTAGAATGTTTCAAAACAACCCAATAAAAGCTGATGTTATAGTATAGTATAGTTGCTATAATAGCTCCAGGTTAGGATAAGCTGTTAAAACATGAGATTGACATTCCACCTGCTCCTTCAACATAGGGACAAAGTACAGCATGGTTCAGAGTCAGATTTCGCCAGGCGCAGTGGCTTACACCTGTAATCCCAGCACATTGGGAGGCCAAGGCAGGCTGATCACCTGAGGTCGGGAGTTCGAGACCAGCCTGACCAACATGGAGAAACCCCATCTCTACTTAAAGTACAAAAAAAGTTAGCCAGGCATGGTGATGCATGCCTGTAATCCCAGCTACTCGGGAGGCTGAGGCAGGAGAAGTGCTCAAACCCAGGAGGCAGAGGCCACGGTAAGCCAAGATCGCGCCATTGCACTCCAGCCTCTGCAGCAACAGCAAAACTAAAGAGTCAAATTTCTAGGCCAGACTAGACCTGCCTGGCTAGGAATCCTGATTGTGCCACTTATTAGCTATGTAACCTTGAGCAAGTTATTTAGCTTCTTTATGTGTGTTTCTTCATATGCTAAATGAGGATAGTAATAATACCTACCTTATAGATTTTGCATGAAGATTAAATGTATATAAAGCACTGAGCACAGTGCCAAGCACACAGAAGTACATAATAAATATCCAGTTATTGCTTTTCTGTCATTGTCAGCTACACATAAGCAACATATGGTCTTGATTCTGGGGAATCAAATATTCTTGATAAACCACTTCTGAGGGCTAGAATAAGATTAATCAAAGAATGAAAGATTGAACCGACCCTTTCTCTTCTCAGATGACAGGTCCTATGTAAGGTACACATATCACATGCTGTCAACCCATCTGAGACACTCAGCTTTCAAATGACAGTTCTTCTCTGAAGCTAACCTAGCCAAAAGAGAAGTACACTATCCGTTAAGCTGTGTCACTAGCTAAGTCTGTGTGTCTAAATTAAAGAAAAACATGTTAGTTGCCTCTTTCACTAATAATCAGTGACTTAGCCAGATGCTGATCATATCAGATAGAAATTGGCCCCACGCATAGATGTGTATTCACTTTTACATAATATTAGAGAGAGGTAACATATCAAATAAAAAATGGATTTTAAAAGCATTATATTGTAGCCATATAATTTTTGAATTCTTTTTTTTTTTTTTTTTTTTTTTTTGAGACAGATCTCAACTCTGTTGCCCAAGCTGGAGTGCAGTTTTGCGATCTCAGCTCACTGAAACCTCTACCGCCCAGGTTCAAGTGATTCTCCTGCCTCAGCCTCCAGAGTAGCTGGGATTACAGGCACCTGCCATCACACCTGACTAATTGTTGTAGTTTTAGTAGAGACAGGGTTTCACTATCTTGGCCAGGCTGGTTTTTAACTCCTGACCTCATCATCCATTCGCCTCGGCCTCCCAAAGTGCTGGGATTATAGGTGTACGCCACTGTGCCAAGGCCTTAGGGTCACATATTAATTATAGGAAATTTAAGGAGAAGTTAATATGCAAAGCATATTGGCTCACAACAGGCTACACAGCAATGAATATGTTTCATTTAACACAGTATTAAAAATATGGCAAGTTTTTAACTAAGAATGACAATATAATTTATATTAGACAGACGATAGCAGAAAAAACTCAGAAAACCCGGACCAGAATCCTAAATCTGCTTTTTCTCATTGTTTGGTATTACAGAGACTCAGAAGAACAAAAGGAAGCACATTTCATTCTTAAAATATATATATACACTAGGCCAGGTGCAGTAGTTCATGCCTGTAATCCCATCATTTTGGAAGGCTGAGGCGGGCAGGAGTTTGAGACCAGCCTGACCAACATGGAGAAACCCCATCTCTACTAAAAATAAAAAATTAGCCAGGTGTGGTGGTGCATGCCTGTAATCCCAGCTACTCAGGAGGCTGAGGTAGGAAAATCGCTTATACCTGGGAGACGGAGGTTTCGGTGAGCTGAGATTGTGCCATTGCACTCCAGCCTGAGCAACGAGAGAAACTGTCTCGAAAAAAAAAAAAAAAAAAAAAAAGTATGCTATATCTAGGCTATGGCATGATGAGTCTATAGTATATTATATACATCATGGTGTAGTGAAAGGAGTATGGGCTGGGCCCAGCTCTGCTAGTAATTACAGGTAGACAATCACTTAATGTTCTTTAGGGCTAAGTTTCCTTATTTTGCTGATGAAAGGGGTTGGATAATAATTCATAAATCCATTTTAGCTTGGAAACTGCATTGCTCAGAAGTGTTTCTTACAAACTTATTCTCCACGAGAAAGGGTCTCACTCTGTCACCGGGGCTGGAGTGCAGTGGCACACTCACAGCTCACTGCAACCTCAACCTTCCAGGTTCAAGCAATTTCTACCACCTCAGCCTCTCAAGTAGCTGAGACTAGAGGCACACCATCATGCCCAGCTAATTTTGTATTTTTTGTAGAAATAGGGTTTTGACACATTGCCCAGGTTTGTTTCGAACTCCTGGGCTCAAGTGATCCGCCTGCCTTGGCCTCCCAAAGTGTTGTGATTATGTGCATGAGCCACCACACCCAGCCAAAAGCATTTTTTTTCCTTCTTTTTTTTTTTAGGGGCTTTGTGGCAAAAACTGAAAATCCTGCTAGATGAATTCTAAAATAACTGTTAATACTGCCAAAAGCATTTCTAACTTAATGAAATTGTATCCCAGTCTAAATCCTCAATACAAACTCCACATGCCTTTATATGAACGTGAGGATGAGATTACACCAAGATTTAACTTAAGATAAAAGATTAACCAAAGAACAATTCTGATACCTTGTACTAAGTACTACAAACACAACAACCATAAGTGACTATATGATACTTACGCTAATGAACCCCCAAAAAATCTTTTTTTATTACTCAATAACAAAATAACTTTTGCTGAAATCATTAAAATTAGCTCAGTAAGAAAGAAAATGCACAAAGAAGTACAAGAGTATTTATTTTATAGCATTATTAGTAGTAACAAAAGATCGGAAACAACCTAAACATACAGCAACAAGAAAGGGCTAAACACATTATAAACATCCAGAAAATAAAACTAATCATTCAAAATAATGATTAAGTAGAGGCAGTTCCATGTTAATCATATGGAACAACTTCCAATAATTTTCAGGTCAGGACAATGGGCATATGATGCTAGCATTTGTACAAGAGAAAAAAGCAAACATGAAATATATGTGTAGACTATCTCTGGATAGTTACAGAATGAACTAGTTCACAACAGCTGCCTTTAGGGAAAAGAACTGGAGGTCAGTATTACAGGAGTAGGAAGAAGGCATACTTTTTTTTTTTTTGAGGCAGAGTTTTCCTCTTGTCGCCCAGGCTAGAGTGCAATGGCACGATCTTGGCTACTGCAACCTCTACCTCCTGGGTTCATGCGATTCTCCTGCCTCAGCCTCCCAAGTAGCTGTGACTACGGGCACCTGCCACCACACCTGGCTAATTTTTGTATTTTTAGTAGACATGGGGTTTCACCATGTTGGCCAGGCTGGTCTCTAACTCCTGACTTCAGGTGATCCAGCTTGGCCTCCCAAAGTGCTGGGATTACATGCATGAGCCACTGTACCCGGGTAGAAAATATACCTTTTTTTTTTTTTTTTGAGATGGAGTCTCACTCTGTTACCAGGCTGGAGTACAGTGGCGCGATCTTGGCTCACTGCAACCTCCACCTCCCGGGTTCAAGCAAGTCTCCTGCCCCAGCCTCTCAAGTAGTTGGGACTACAGACACGTGCCACCATGCCCAGCTAATTTTAGTATTTTTAGTAGAGACGGGGTTTCACCATGTTGGCCAGAATGGTCTTGATCTCTTGACCTCATGATTTGCCCACCTTGGCCTTCCAAAGTGCTGGGATTACAGGCATAAGCCACCACAACCAGCAGAAAATATACTTTTAAAACTTCTTGTAGTACATTTAAAAATCTTTTTCCATAGGCATGGTGCATCTATTTTTATTTTTAAAGTTACATTTTCTTTTTTTAAGTTACAATTTCAAGTGAATAAATGAACAGTGAAAAAAAGTCCCATTGTCCAACTGTATATAAATATATTTGTATATATGTATATATATATATATACGTATACACACACACACACACACACACACACAGATACAGATGCAAACCCACATAAAAAAGAGTCTAGAAGGAAATATATCAAAAAACTAACAGTGGTTGTCTTTGGGTAGTGGAATATAGATGATTTATTTTCTTTCATATTTCTCTGTAGTCTCCAAAGATCTCAATGAACATGTATTAGCTTTGAAATTATAAGAAGTTACACGTTTCTAAAACAAATACATGTTTCTATCACAATTTTTTTCAGATATTAAATAAATTACATGCTGTGAGACTATGTATATTTTTATCAGAAATCTGAAGCGGTTTCATGCTAGGATTCCGCATGTTTGCTCCAGACTCACCCTGAAGTTATTTGAAGGATCCTTGAAACTGTTTTTGATTGCTGCTTGGAGAACATTCTTGTAACTTGTCCCTGCTCCTTGAGCTATAAAAGCAGAAAGGAGGTACTGAGTTAAAATTTATAAATTATTATCAAATAAATCTTCAACAATGGTTCAGTCCAAGGTCAATCATCATCTTTCAAAATACTCTAAACTTTCCAGTCACCTTACTGAATTCAAAATATCAGATGACTCTTCCACCAAGCATCATTAAGAATGGAATATAAATGCTACTTCTGTTCTTGATCTTTGATCAGTCTTTTAGAGTGTGTTGGGGTGGAAGAGTGCTCTATAGATCAATGAGTCTCAGCCATGCCCTTTAGGCTGTGATACTATGGTGGCAGTGAACTTGCTAACAGAGCTCAAGCTGAGGCTGAGTCTAAAAGACAATGACGGATGCAAGCAAGGGAAAAGGCCAATGTGAGTCTGGTCCTTTCTATCAAGGAAGAACTCAAATGTGCTCTTTTCCATAAGGAGGTTTTGTGAAACTTCGGACACATGCAGGGAAGGTATGAGACCCAAGTGACATCACCCAAACTTGGATAGTGTTTATCAGGCCAAATACTAGAGCAAGGCAGTAGGGTTCAGCATACATGCAAAACACCTGAATATCCATAGCTCTGCCAGCCTGTGCAGATCCCAGATTCTTTCTTGAAAATCGAAATGTTAAGAACTGCTTGGCAGCATTTTGCAGCGATCATGAATATACAGGACAAAGGAGTTGGCAGATCTGGCATACGAAGAATATAAAGAGATGTGATTTCTAGCCACAAGCTAAAGGGGGCTTTGGTCATTTGGGTTCCATTCCATCCACCTATCTAACAATTGAATCTTTACCAGTCATGTACCCCATGCCCAGAGTACTTCCTCTAGACAGCTGAGAGGCCAAAATTCTTACCAGACTGCTTGTACTTCTGGATTTTTGTCTTCAGGTCTAATCTGTGGATGTTCTTTAGGCATTTTTCTAATAAATCCAGTTGATCTGGGGCAACCAGATTTAGTTTCTCCAATTCAACCACAAGGTCCAAGAAACTCTAAGAGAACCACCAACAAAAACAAATGTCAATAGAGCTAGCTAGGCCAGGTGCAATAGCTCATGCCTGTAATCTCAGCACTTTGGGAGGCTGAAGCGGGAAGATTGCTTGAGCCCAGGAATTTGAGACCAGCCTGAGCAAAATAGCAAGACCCCCATCTCTACAGAAAATAAAAAAATAAGCCGGGTGTGGTGGCACACACCTGTGGTCCCAGCTATTCAGGAGGCAGAGGTGGAAGATCACTTGAGCCCAGGAGGTCAATGCTGTAGTGAGCCGTGATTGCGCCATGGCACTCCAGCCTGGGCAGCAGAGCAAGACCCTGTCTCAAAAAACAAACAAACCAAAAAAAAAAAACAAAAAAACAAAACAGACTGACTAATAAGCCCCAAATGCAAACCTCAGTCCATGTGATTTATAACAGTAAGAAAATGTGACAAGATGAGCCCTTTCAGTGACCTTCAGTGATCTTAAACCAGACATCTCAGTCATGAGCACCTTAGACTTGTGATTTTCATTCAGAACAGAGGTGGTGGTAAGTCTTTTGGTCATCAAGCTGCTCCTTGGGTGCAGACAGACATGTGTGCCATGTTGTGTCATTTGAGAAGGACCATAAAAGAGCAGGCCTGCCGGGTGCGGTGGCTCAAGCCTGTAATCCCAGCACTTTGGGAGGCCGAGGCGGGTGGATCACGAGGTCGAGAGATCGAGACCATCCTGGTCAACATGGTGAAACCCCGTCTCTACTAAAAATACAAAAAACTAGCTGGGCGTGGTGGCGCATGCCTGTAATCCCAGCTACTTAGGAGGCTGAGGCAGGAGAATTGCCTGAGCCCAGGAGGCGGAGGTTGCGGTGAGCCGAGATCGCGCCATTGCACTCCAGCCTGGGTAACAAGAGCGAAACTCCGTCTCAAAAAAAAAAAAAAAAAAAAAAAAAGAGCAGGCCTGAAAACAGAACCCACCTGAGTTTATTATTTTCCAAAAGATCAGGCTGGTATTACAGTGAAAAACTCTAAGGATTTCTCCAAAAAAGAGAGAAAGAAGGGAGCTGGAGAAAGACTTTATAAGAAAAATCACATGATATAGTTTAAAAATTTCCAAAATGTTTGAATCAGTGCTGGACCTTCCAACTCATTCTGACTCAGGGGGTTATAGAAAAGTAAAATTATAACAAGGTTTGAGTGTTTTGCCATTCATTTACCTTGGGCCACAGGGATTATGAATGAACTATATTTCAGAAACAAGCATTGCTGTGGGGTTTATTTCCTTTGCATTTAACATTTGGTTACTGAAGTGCTATCTTTATTTTAGAAAACAATAATCATAATTTAAATATATATAAATGACTGGGAGAGACAATTACTAGGATAAACCAAAAAGGGAGTTCTAGTTTCATTTTCCTTCCCACTTTGCATTTGATGGGACTTAAGAAACAAAACTACAAATATTAGGAACATGAGGAAATTCTCAAACAATGACTTATTTGAATTCTGAGGCAGGCACTGACCTGCCTACTTTGAGGACCTATTGTCATATTTTGGAAACAACAGGTTCTCAAACATTTCCTGGCTTGTTGTTAGGTCAACATTACCATGTAGGGCCAACTGGAATGTTTTTGTTTTTTCTTTTGAGATGGAGTCTCACTCTGTAGCCCTGGCTAGAGTGCAGTGGCACAGTCTTGGCTTACTGTAATCTCTGCCTCCCAGGTTCAAGCAATTTTCCTACCTCAGCCTCCCAAATAGCTGGGATTACAGGCATGCACCACCAAGCCCGGTTAACTTCTGTATTTTTAGTAGAGATGGGGTTTCGCCATGTTGGCCAGGCTGATCTTGAACTCCTGACTTCCAGTGATCTGCCCAGCTCGGACTCCCAAAGTGCTGGGATTACAGGCATGAGCTACTGTGCCCGGCCAGGCCAACTGGAGTTTACATATTTTTCTTTTTCTTTTCTTTTCTTTTTTTCTTTCTTTTTTTTTTTTTTTTTTTTTTTTTTTTGAGACAGAGTCTTGCTTTGTCGTCCAGGTTGGAGTGCAATGCCACTATCTCAGCTCACTGCAACCTCTACCTCCTAGATTCAAGTGATTCTCCTGCCTCAGCCTCCTGAGTAACTGGGATTATGGGTGCCCACCACCATGCCCCCCTAATTTTTTGTATTTTCAGTAGAGATGGTGTTTTACCAGGTTAGCCAGGCTGGTCTCGAACTCCTGACCTCAGGCGATCCACCCACCTCGGGCTCCCAAAGTGCTGGGATTAGAGGTGTGAGCCACTGCACCCAGCCATGGATTTTAAATATTTTTCTAGCAATCATGACATCCCCAAGATCTCCACCACTACCTGGTTTTCAACTCCAAAGCTCTATTTTTACCACTTCCCAGATCCATCAGTCACAAGAACCTCCCCCCACCCCACTTCTACATGCAGCCTAGACCCCACACTGACCTTGAGTCAGCTGAGGAGAAATAGACGGCAGTAGGAGAGTGATACGATAGTGGACCAGCACCTCCTTCCTGTTTCTACCTAGCACAAGCAGATGGGATATCCTCCCCACACCCCCATCAAACCAGGGAGGGAAACACATATGAGCCAGATCTATGAATTTTACAGATATAAGGATAAAATCCAAGGATGAAAGAAACATCCAAGGTCACACCAGAAGATACTATCCTATTTCTTCTCAATTCACAAACCAGTTCTCTTCTCATTAATGTTATCATTTAAAAGCCACTTAAAATGTCTGACTCCCACTACAGTGGTGGCAGACTGCCTGCTTCCCTCTCTATATATCAAAAAAAAAGCAGCTCCCATTTCTCATAAGCTCTTAGAACCATGAACCAAAAGAATAAAACTCACCTTCTCCTTGTTTATCTTGCCTCGGCCCATGTAATCCCTCATGAGGAATATTAATGAGGACACATCAGATTTATCCAAATCCTCACCGATCTCTGCCATCAGCACTCTGCAAACCAAACAAGTTCATTTAGTTAATTCAGACATCAGTCCTAAGACAACTCCAAGACCCCATGCCTTCCCTATGCCAATAATTTATTAAAAGACTAGTTCTTGCCCCTGGGTGAATGTGTCCCTCTCTCATAAAACAGCAAGCCTAGGTCACCTCAGGAAGAGATCTTAAGGGAACTCAAAAAAGAAAAACTCGTCCTTGCCCGTTTTCAATAGGAGATGGTACCTCCTTTACCAATTAACAGCTTCGGAAAATAACTCAGTTAATGGAAACTTTCCTAAAGAATCCCCTAGCCCCCACCAGAAGTTATAGTGAAATGACTTAAGAACCCAAATGACTAACATACAAGACAGAAATCGAATTCAAAGTAGCCTTATCGTCTCTGTTTAACAAGCTCTCAGATGATGTTGATTCAAGGACCATACCTTGAATTGCAAAATGCTAAAGGAGACTGGAGCAGTGCCTCATGCCTGTAATCCCAGCATTTTGGGAGGCCAAGGCAGGAGGATCACGAGGTCAAGAGATCGAGACCATCCTGGCCAACATGGTAAAACCCTGTCTCTACTAAAAATACGAAAAAAATTAGCTGGGCGTGGTAATGAGCACCTGTAGTCCCAGTTACTTGGGAGGCTGAGGCAGGAGAATCACTTGAACCCAGCAGGCGGAGGTTGCAGTGAGCCAAGACTGCACCACTGCACTCCAGCCTGGGCAACAGAGAGAGACTCCGTCTCCAAAAAAAAAAAAAAAAAAAATGCTAAAGGGAAAAAACACCTGGGATATCCTGGCCCACTTCTGAATTTAAAGGGTACAGGCATCCAGATCACAGGGATTCTGAACTTAGGTGTTTTTGCCTAGAAAGCTTCTCCTTACTCAGCGGTGGCTGGATCTACCACTATACTTCCCGCACCCCTACCCCACCCCCCACCTCAGGAAGTAGATGTTGAGAACCAATAACCACAGTTTACTGGAGCTCCTAAGGATACCTTGTAGTTAGTATTGTTACCATGACATTGTCATCAAGTACATTTTCCCAGTTAGGCTCTCAGATTTTTGAGGATGGCGGATTTTTCACATTGTCCTAGAGCTTACCAAAACATCCAGCACATGCCAATACACAATGAAGCCCACTCGACCAGATGAATAAATGAATCTAGTGCTCACCTTGAATAGCCCCACCTTTCTTCCCAGAGGGCCTAAGAATCTCCACTCATAATAGCAAGGTAATGGGAAATGGAATGATTGCCCTACTCTACTCACTGAAACCCAGCTGGCGCCTCCCAGAAAGTTTGAAGTTTGGACATTCAAACTGATGGCTGGCCTGGGCGCAGTGGCTCACGCCTGTAATTCCAGTACTTTGGGAGGCTGAGGCAGGAGAATCGCTTGAACCCAGGAGGCGGAGGCTGTGGTAAACCAAGATTGTGCCACTGCACTCCAGCCTGGGCGACAGAGCAACACTCCATCTCAATAAAAAGAAAAAAACAAAAACCAAAAACAAACAAACAAAAAAACTGATGTCTGAATAGGTGGAAGATAAAAAACAACAACAACAATAATAATCCCTTGTATCTGTAAATGCTTCACAGTTTAAAAAGTACTTCACGTAGTAAATTATCACAACTGATGCTCACAACACCTTATAAAGTTGGGTATTATTATTTTTCACTTTACAAGTAGGAAAACAAAGGCCCAACAAGGTTAGTGATTGGCCCAGCCTGCTTGACCCATAACTGGTAGATCTGAGGCTTGAAACAGGTCATCCAGCTACAGTGAGCTATGATCATGCCACTGCACTCCAGCCTCCGTGACAGAGCAAGACCTTGTCTCAAAAAAAAAAAAAAAAAAAAGAAACAGGCTTATACCAACTTCAAATCTCATATATTTTCCAAAGCCCACACTGCTTTCAGCTCTCTTTAGCATAGTTCTTGATAATACATATCATCTCCAAATAGACATTATCAACATAATAAAAGGCTGGTGGTGGAGAGAAAAAACACCGGCTAGGCACAATGGCTCAGGCCTATAATTGCAGCACTTTGAGAGGTCAAGGAGCACAGATCACTTGAGGCTGGGAGTTCAAGACCAGCCTGGCCAATACAGCGAAACCCTGTTTCTACTAAAAATACAAAAATTAGCTGGGCATAGTGGCACACGCCTATAATCCCAGCTACTCAGGAGGCTGAGGCAGGAGACTCACTTGAAACCCAGAAGCAGAGGTTACAGTGAGCCAAGATCGCACCACTGCACTCCAGTCTGGGCTACAGAGCGAGACTTTGTCTCAAAAAGAAAAGAAAAGAAAAGAAAATATCAACTTAAGGTTACAAGTTATCTTCCTTTCTCAGTAGCTTCCCTGCCCCTCTGAACCTCTAAAGATATTGACATATGAGCAAGAGGAAGGAGCAACCCAAAGCTTGTCAGGACTAAAGAGGACTCCAGTAACCATTTCCTCTTTGAACTGAAGGGGCTTAGATTGGTTAACTGATGAGATTTTCGATTCAGGCTCTCCAGCAGCACAGGAAGGCAGCCCACCCTGATAAACTTCCTCAGCAGGGGAAGGGCCAATGGGGATTCAGAAAGGATAATGGAGTTTCTACAAAGGTAGGAAGATTACTGTCAGACTTGTCATTTCCTTTCTTTGTACCAGAAATTACCAAAGACTGACTTCACAGAAAATGAACTAGTAAACACCACTGCAGATCTCTCTCTTCTTTTTTTTTTTGAAACGGAGTCACACTCTGTCACCCAAGCTGGAGTGCAATGGCGTAATCTCGGCTCACTGCAACCTCCACCTCCTGGGTTCAAGCAATCCCCCTGCCAGCCTCTTGAGTAGCTGGGATTACAGGCACATGACACCACACCTGGCTAATTATTTTTGTATTTTTAGTAGAGACAGGGTTTCACCATGTTGGCCAGACTGGTCTCGAACTCAGGTAATCCTTGCACCTTGGCCTCCCAAAGTGTTGGGATTACAGGCAGGAGCCACTGCACATGGTCTGCAGATCTCACACTGTCAGAGGCTGACAAGAATGACCAGCTTTTAATCATTCCTATCTTTCTTCATGTCTTGTCATTCTATCCTTCAGGCAAACACATATCATCTGTCCTGTCCCTTCTACCTGCATATGATCCCAATTCCTTTGAGAAAGCGTGTTTCAGCTGGGGGCAGTGGCTCATGCCTGTAATCCCAGCTTTTTGGGAAGCCAAGGCAGCCGCATTACTTGAGGTCAGGAGTTCAAGATCAGTCTGGCCAATATTGTGAAACCCTGTCTCTACTAAAAATACACACACACACATACACAAACAGTCTGCTGTGGTGGCACACACCTGTAGTCCCAGCTACTTGGGAGGCTGGGGCAGGAGAATCGCCTGAACCCAGGAGGCAGAGGTTGCAGTGTGCCAAGACACGCCACCGCACTCAAGCCTGGGCAACAGATGTCTCAAGAAAAAAACCAAGAAAGCAAGTTTCAAGAATTTAAAGGGTTCACAGGAATGAAGTGACATCATCTGGCAGCTGGATAAGTGGGCAGGGAAATTAAAGTGGCTGAACTTCTTATTGTTCTCATTTCTGCCATTCAGTAAAGTCTGAGATACTTCACTCCTTCCCACCCATCCAGCCTCAGGAAAAGTTGATGAATTACCTGTAGTCTGAAACAAGGTGAGGGTGCTTGCGCAGGTGGTCCTCCACGGCTTTTCTGTCCATTTTCAAAATCCGCTTGAGCAGGTCAAATCGCCTCACTCTGTAGAGCAGTTCAGCCAAGCTCGTGTGAGACAGCTTTCCTCTTTCACGTAAAATATCCAGAAGGTCCCTGACATTAGGTGGAACCACATCTATACCAACATCCCGGCACAAAAAGAGCAGCATCTCCTTCTCATCTGTGTCAAGTGCTTCTTCAACCTGATGGATGACCTCAGCAGACATCCTACTCTTGGGCTAGGAGAGCTCAGAAGGGTCTACGGGAGTACAGCTCCAGGCCAGTCAACAGAAAGCCAGGAGGTAGTCAACTTCATTTCTGAGGGATGACTTCATTTCTTTCAGAATCCTTTCCAGTGGAGGAGTTCTGTGGTTAAAAGGGAATTTTTTTGAAAATTTTATCAAGCTAAGTTATGCCTAAGATTGAAAGTATAGGCTCTTCTTTTCTTGCTGGTCTCCCTGACCTAAGTAGATTAAAGTCACATTGTTAAGTCTATATTAAGGGATCCTTGGTAGACAGGGCCAAACACTCAGACTAATCTAAAAACTACAAGATAGAGAAGAAAACCTACATTGTAAAGGAAATGAAGCAACATGGAATCATCTCAAAGGAAACCCCACATGCTTTTTACAGAATTCATCAGGTTGTAAAACATGTTACAGCAAAAATGAAACTAAGGGGTTTACTTAAGTTATAAAAAATTATAACTAAGAGGTAGGAGGAAGAGGGAAAAGCCCAATGACTAAACGAGGGAAACTTGTGTCACAGGGTTAAACTTCCACTTCAATGACTCCACCCACGTGGCCTTTAACAAACAATGGAGAAAAGAAGTTTCTGTCCTATGCCACTCCTTTGTTTCTAGTTGCTCTTCTACTTCAAAAGCCCTTCACTCGCACCTCAAAGCAGAAACCTCTGCTATCATCCTCCTAGACCCCAAGCCCTTTTCACAACTTCATCATGAATGCTCACAGGACCCGCCACCAAGTTGTCAGGTTTGGATCACATCTTCAGACCCTGAGCCCCATAGAGGTGCCAGAGGACCTGACTCTCAATGCACTGCTACATGGCAGCAATTGCTATCAGTGCTTCTGATGTTATCAGTGGAACATCAGAAGTCACAGAGGATCTAGGGGAAGGTTTCACTCCTGGGATGGGGCTGGGTTAGAGGGGTTAGGAGCTCATGCCATGGGTGTGTTCTTATTTTTTAAAACTAATTTATTCATCTTTTTTCTTTTCTCCATTTTTCAGTACAACATGGGTGTGTTCTTAACTCTTTCCATTGGAACTCATTTTTTTTTTCAAAATTTAAGTTGCTAACCTATCTAAGTTTCATAGCTAAGAATTACATTAAATCAGCTCATGTGTTCTTTATCTGTTCCTACAAGACAATATTTCAGGTTACAATCAAATTTATTAACAAAAAATAAGTGGAAACACTCCCCAACCCTAAATTGCTAATGGTTGCTTTGTATTTGTGTACAAATATATTTATGTATTTATCTAGCTGTATGTAGTGAAAGAAGTACTGAATCCATTTATTTATTTACATACAATATCAGTCCACAAAAGATTTGAGGTATCTTAAAATAAAAACACATAAACAGACAAGTTTTATATGAGAACAAGAGGAAAAAATTAGGTTAGAAATTTGAAATGGGTGTGCCCATTCATTCAAACTTCACTTAAATATGACTATTTGTAAATAACTGGAGAAATTAAATTTGCTAAGTTAAATATACTAAAATAATTTAAATTTGCTCAATGAAAGTGGAAAAACTGGTGCTCAGACTATTTTACATTGTTTTTAATCAGAAAGATAAATGCTACTTTTATGTGTTCTGGAAAGCCCAACTCTATACTTGAAAGCCAGCAGTGCTTTAATCTCACCATCAGCTTCCATGAAAAGAGGTCAAGTTAAATTTCTATTATATTCACTAGTGGTCACAATTTTGTCAACAGTTGTTATTATAAATTAAACTATAAAATACTTATATACACAGGCTGGGCACGGTGGCTCACTCCTGTTATCCCAGCATTTTGGGAGGCCAGGGCAGGCGGATCACAAGGTCAAGATATCAAGATCAACCTGGCCAACATGGTGAAACCCTATCTCTACTAAAAATACAAAACTTAGCTGGGCATGGTGGCGCGCACCTGTAATCCCAGCTATTCAGGAGGCTGAGGCAGGAGAATCGCTTGAATCCAGGAGGCGGAGGTTGCAGTGAGCTGAGATGCACCATTGCACTCCAGCCAGGCAACAGAGCGAGACTCCATCTCAAAATAAATAAATAAATAAATAAAAATTTAAAAAGTATATGCCCTGAAGGAATAAAATAGACACAAAAATAAAATCATTAAACACAAGAGTAAAAAATGAGATATTATACAAATTCGCTAACATGTTTGAAAAAAAACAAACAGAACTACTAGAAATGAAATGCTTAATTCTCTACTTTGACAGTCATCTAACTTTTGTAATTCCTAAATACTAACAATATGCCAAGAGTTAACAAAATTAGATAATCATTTTAAAAAACATTATCTGCTCAGTTTGTTTCTTCCAACCATCACACCCATGACTGCTTTCTGCCAGTCACGCACACTCAGCAAGAGCACTGGCATACTGTCTTCCCACTGTGCTAATGGGTGTAGAGTTTGGCAGCAAATTCTAGATTACTCAGTGGTAGCATCTGGCACATTCTCTCAAATATCAAAAGGAAACTACAGATCCCGTGTGGAGCCAGCCTACTCAGATGCAACAAAATATCAGTGTGTGTGTGTGTGTGTGTGTGTGTGTGTGTGTGTGTGCGCGCGCTGGGGTGGTGTTGGGGGCAGTTCACTGTGGCTAGAAGTGGTGGGCATTTGAGAAAAGAAAGCATACTAGGGAGAGGTAGGGCTGGGGTCCAAATAATCATAACTTTATTGGGGTTTCTTTTAAGCCTAAGCCAAATTACTCTTAGACTAGGGAAGCTCATAAGGTCCTCAGTTTTTTGTTAAAAAAAAAAAAAAAAAGGGTCTCGAACTCCTGGGCTCAAGCGATTCTCCTGCCTCAGCCTCCCAAAATGCTGAGATTACAGGTGTGAGCCACCACACTCAGATGAATGTGTTATTTAGAGACCAGTAAAAGGACTTGTGCTCAGTTTCCAACCACACCCTGCCTGAGATGCCGGACACAGGGTCCCATTCACTTCTTCTGAAGAGACACTTGCCTTCACATTACTCAGATGAAGGGCAAATGGAATATCCAAGACTAATTATTTTTCTTCCCTGCTTTCAAATATCCAATCCTCCTGACTGATCAAGATTCCATTAATTTCATTTCTCCCTCTGGTGTTTTTAGCAGTTCACTTTACCGAGCCAGACAAAATTGGCACCTGTGTGTGTTTTCTAGAATTTTAAAGGAATTCCCCTTAACTCCCCTCACAGGCATATTCTAATTTAATGACTATATCTCCCCTTCTTTTCCACACCCACACCCTGGCACAAACTGTCCCTGACCTTCACAACAGCAACGAAAACCTGAGACCAATTTCTGTTTCATTTCTCTTGCCAAAGTCATGAGACCATTGCCAATTATTATTCAAAATGCCAACAAAGCTTAGGCAAGTCAGAGTTATCTTTCACACACTAGCTAACAGGAGCATCCAATTCTGGAAACAGAAATACTCCAGGCATTTTTTGTAGAAATTACACTTAATACTGGTACTAACAAAACTGCTGGAAGGGCTGGAGGAAGGGGCCCTGGGGTGTGGGATTCTAACAAAGACTCCTGGGGCTACTGCAATGACCTTGCCTCAGCCAGGAAAGTGAGGATCAGGAGGCTGCCACTAGAACTGAGCTCAAAGACCCTCTGACAGTGGAGACCCAGGAGGCGCAGGCTGCAAACTCTGGCCAGCACTTTGAACTCTCACCTTTTTGCCTCCTGACTGCCAGCGCTGCAACATCTAGGGCAGGCGTCCCCAAACTTTTTACACAGGGGGCCAGTTCACTGTCCCTCAGACCGTTGGAGGGCCACCACATACTGTGCTCCTCTCACTGACCACCAATGAAAGAGGTGCCCCTTCCTGAAGTGCGGCGGGGGCCGGATAAATGGCCTCAGGGGGCCTCATGCGGCCCGCGGGCTGTAGTTTGGGGATGCCTGATCTAGGGTTACCAAGTCCCAGGAAACCCCTCAGTCCCAGGAAAACAGGGATGGTTGATCACTTCAGCACACCTGCCTCAGACAGAGTGAGCCTCCACCACTCCTACACCTCCAGTAGCAAGTCGTTCTGAAGGAAGGGAAAAGAGATACCACAATCTAACCACCACACCCTGGCAGTTTCCTGAGCTGGGCCCCTACTGGCTGCTCAGCAGTTTCATTTACAAGACGACCCTGGTCAGCTCCTTTCCCACACCCTTCAAGGAGTGCTCCACCCTCCACCACTCTCTTCCATCCCAATACCACCCCAGTACCATTTCTCATACGTGTATCAGGCACAAGCTCCTGCCACCTTCCACCTTTCCACTGCCCCAGCCGGTTCCTCCTGTCCCTCTGCTTGCCTAGGGCTAAGCCTCCCCCCTGTCTCTACTAAGCCCCTATGTCTAATCTCATCATCCTTTCTCTGCCTCCAGAGACAGCTCCTTGCAGCTCATAAACATGTGCAAGTCTCTTCTATCTTAAAAAATAAATAAAACCAAAACCCTCATAAAAGCCTGAGGGTCCCCTAGACCTCATCCTTTCACTTTATTCCCTTTCACATAAAGCAGGGACCTTGTGAAGGAACAGTCTGTACTCGGTGCTTCAGTTTGTTCACCCACAATTCACTCCTCAACATGCCTCCACCTGGATCCCCTCATCCCACCATTTCCTCTACACAGCGACACTCAGTTCTGAGCCACACTGGAATCTGAGGCAAAAGCGACAATCAGTAATACTGATGCTGTCTTTCTTTAAAATGTTGATATTTTGTTCATTATAGCTTTTTTGGCATTTATGTCTATTTTTTAAAATATTGCATTAAGTAATTCCAGCACTTTGGGAGGCCAAGGGGGGGCAGATCACAAGGTCAAGAGATCGAGACCACCCTGGCCAATATGGTGGAACCCCCTTTCTACTAAAATACAAAAATTGGCTGGGCATGGTGGTGCATGCCTGTAGTCCCAGCTATGTGGGAGGCTGAGGCAGGAGAACTGCTTGAACCCAGGAGGCAGAGGTTGCAGTGAGCCAAGATCCGGACACTGCACTCCAGCCTGGCGCCTGGCAACAGAGTGAGACTCTGTCTCAAAAAAAAAAAAAAAAAAAAAAAAAAAAAAAAAATTGCATTAAAATATTACCTATCTTTATTACTGACTTTTTGACCACCCCCTTAAATGTACCCAAAGCGAGTACCCCACTTGCCCCCACTAGTATCCCAGCCCTGATGACACAGCTCTTGTTGAGGACTGGTGACCTAGTTGCCACATCCAAAACCTAGAAGACCTCTTTCATCTGACTGCTCGACTCCAGCTGACACTGCTAATTAATCCCTCCTTGAAGCTCTTCTCCCTCGGCTGAGCTCACACTGCTATATTCTACACAGACCCTCTCTAACTTCCTCCTACTCTTCAGCATGCTCTTTCTGCACCTGTGCCTTAAGTGCTGGTGTTCCCTACCATCAATCTCTCATCCAGACTCATTCCTTTGGCCTTTCTGTTCCCCCTACTTCTGACCTTACACTCTCCAAATCTACCCTCTACCTAAGTGAACTTTCTAAAGTTCATGCTTAAACTGGCCAGGGGCAGTGGTTCACACCTGTAGTCCCAGCACTTTGGGAGGCCAAGGCGAGCAGATCACTTGAGGCCAGTTCAAGACCAGCCTGGTCAACATGGCAAAACCCTGTCTCTACTAAAAAATACAAAAACTAGCTGGGCATTGTGGTGCATGCTTGTAATTCCAGCTACTCAGGGGGCTGAGGCACAAGAATCTCTTGAGCCTGGGAGGTGGAGGTTGCAATGACCAAGATTTCTCCACTGCACTCCAGCCTGAGGAACAAAAGTGAAACTCCATCTCGAAAAACAAAACAAAACAAAATACCTCTATTAAAGCACTTAACACACCTCGCTGGTATCCAGCCTTAGCCCTAACCAGGTGTCAGCAAATCAGTTAAGTTTAGTCAGGCTTCTCAACCTTTCTCACAGAACACAACGCTGCCTTCAAACTATCTGGTATCAAAAGCACATAATGTTCCCTGTAATCAGTAGCAAAGCATCCAGCATGACCAGCTAAGCCACCCAAAGACATACTTAACATTCCCTTCTTTGCACTGCTTCTCTATCTGAAGCAAGGTGATAGTATGGCATAAAACATGTCATGTCCAATGAGCCATGGCGTGAATGCAAATGTCATTTCTTAGCAACCCACAAAACTGAGCGGCAATAGAGAAACCTGTCTTGCCAGCTGCAGAAAGTAGCATGCATAGCTGGGACTTTCAGGCGTCTGGGAAGCCCCAGTGGTGATATGAACATGAAACACTTCAAAGTATCACCCAGAAGTTTCTAAAAGAAGAAGAGTTGCACAATTCTGGGTAAGGTAGAATGTGGCCATCTCACAGAAGTTTTGTACATTCATCCTGAACATAATTCACCTTCCTCCTCCATTGGTGTGCAAAACCTATGGATGTTGGCTGTTTGTATGGCAATTCAAACAGATAATATGATGACCCCATTTTTCCTGCTCCATATGTAGGCATTTTAAACCTAAGATAGTACATGAAATGTCATTTTATGCCCCCTTCAAAATATTTAAAATAAGGATGTGTAATAATAAATCATCTTGTGGTCCCTGATTTCTGTAATACTGCAGATACATACTCAAACATAGTCTAGAAGATCATGAACTGAGGTTAAAGCCTATATACATCCCAACTTGGGATGTTACCAACCATTATTACATATCAGTGGCTAAAAACATGCATTAAAAAGAAGGAGAATCACTTGAACCCAGGAGTCGGAGGTTGCAGTGAGCTGAGATCGCACCACTGTACTCCAGCCTGATGACAGAGTGAGACTCTATCTAAAAAAAAAATTAAAAAGACAAAACAAACAAAAAGAGCCCAGGTTATCATAACTGCCCTACCCTGGCCCACAGGCTTCCTCCAGTCAGGCTGTCAGTTGCTCTTGTCCAAACTGCCTTGACTTGAAGCGACCTGTGTAGGTAACTTTTCTGAGTCCTCCTCAACCATATTTTGGGGTTATGGGGACAAGAATCAAGTTTAGATCCATTTCTATGTCCTCGGCACCCAGAACTCTGCCTGGCCCAGAGAAACTCAATAAATGTTGGTAGGATTATACTGAATTAAAGGCAAAGAGGCATTGCAGTCCATAAACATGAGTTTAATTAGCCCCTGGGGCTCTACAGGGAAGAAATAACCAGACTCCAAGAGTCCCCAGAGTCCATTCCTGGTATTTGAAAGAGCAACACGCCTCCGAGTGTTGTGAGTGCTCCAGAGGCTCGACCTAGGGCCAAAAGCGAGGACTCAATCCTTTTCTGCAGGTATGGGGGACAGTGCCCAGACGTCCCAGGAGCCCAGAGCGACAACGGCCCAGGGGTGGGGGTCAGGCAGGATTCTCGGTCTACTCACGCCCGGGCAAGCAGCCGGCTCTTCCTACTGATCTCCGCTGGGACAGATCTCCGCCGGGACCAACTCCCACCCTCGCCGGACAAACTCAGACCTGCCGCTCCACAAAACTGGAATTGGAAATGCTCCAGATGGGACAAGGAACAGGGACAGAAATCAAATGCATCAACAGGTGGCCTCGCCGGGGGGAGTCCCAAAACTTCTGCCTGTGAGCGCCTTCGCGCCTAATCCACGCCGCCCACCGGTGACACGTTATCACACAAGCCCTGAATTCTCGAATCCTGTCTGCAGAATTCTCCGCCCTCCAGGAGGTGAAACTTGTACAGGACGACGCGGGTATGGGTGTCTCTGGGTGGTCAAAGGGCTTATGCATAGCTCAGGAAAGTTAAGTGCGGCTCCACCAGGACTGAGTGGGCACCGCCGCAGCGCCCCCACCACCTACGGGGAGCTGCGGTAGGACCTCCGACGCCCCAGGGGGCTAGGCAATTTCCGCTTCAGCTTCCTGGAAGCCCCTAACCAAGACTCAAAAAACTGCATGCTATCCTGCCCACCGCGGGTCGCGCAAGACTTTCGGGGAGAGGGGGAAACCCACGACCCTGCAAATGGTTTCACCTGGGAAACCGGTATAAGAAAGCAAGTAACACCGCATTAAAAGAAGGTCAAATGTCAGTTACAAACAGAAACGTTAAAACAAAGTCGCTGAAGAAAACCATTTTAACCAGGACATGTGACCCAAAAGCTGTAAGTAAAACAAGGATTAACAAAACAAGAAAATTTATGTAAAGCAAACAGTAAACATTCAAAATTCCCTTTTCAACCCAGTGTTTTTTGTTTAGATCTTGGAGTTGAGCCAAGTGTTTTTTGTTCAACGAAACTTTTGTAAGGTTGTTTAGGAGACCCACCAACCGAAAAGGGCCAAAACTCCGTTCCTCTTATCTGAAATCTCTCTCTAAAGCAGGTCAAACCTTTCAGAGGCCCCTCTCTGTTCTAGATTATCGCCGTTTGCCGTTGTCCTAAAAGCTTTACATACGCTATCCCCCTATTGGGTTCACCTGCTTAAGAACAAATTTCAAATGTCAACCAATTAAAATATTCGCAAAACCTCTGGCGTCCTTGAATTTACTTCCTGCTCCGTGGAATCAAAAAACTGATTCTGAATTTCAGTCGCCTTTGTTCTTCTATTGTGTGGCACTGCTAATATTAAAAGAAAGTGGCCTTCTGTTCAAATCCGGACACCCTCAAGCAAGAACATCCTGAAGCCATTTTACATTTCCCAGTCCTTTTGAAGGGATGGAAGAGTGGCAGAAACAGGTTCATTTTATGGCTCTAAAAACTTCATCAGTGAAGCGTTCTCAGCTTTTCCAAGGTAAGCTTTCCTTGCCCTTGGGCAAAATAGACATTAAACTGCTCTGGAAAATAACCGTCCTGACCACCCTTCTGTGAAGTTTCCGCCCGGGCGGCGGCTCCCACTGGGTGAGGCCGAGCGCACACACAACCGTTCGGAAAGTCCACATTCCCAACAACTTTTGAAAGGAAAACGGCCAGTCTTCTCAACAGTTCACCCCAAGAACTGAACTCTCAAGATCATCTAAAGCAAAGTTACAGGACGCTGAGGACCCGCCCCCGAAGCTCGCGAGTGGCCTCTGGGGCTGCGGCTGCAGGGGGCGGCCACAGTTGGCCAAGGGGTATTTCCGGTGGATCTGGTCTGTCGGCGAGCAGCTAGGACCTCAATGGCCCGGATCGCCCGTTTCTGGGAATCCGTGGCGCAGTCGGGGGTAGCAGGGGTAACGCGGCTCCGAGCGGGGAGGAAGCGGAAGCGGAAGCGGGGGCGTTCCGCCCAGCGCCGAGCCCGCAGTCAACAGACGAGATAAGGAATCTGCAAAAGTGACTCAGGCTGGCCGGGCGCGGCGGCTGACGCCGGCAATTCCAGCACTTCGGGAGGCCGAGGCGGGCGGATCACGAGGTCAGGAATTCGAGATCACCCTGGCCAACATAGTGAAACCCCGTCTCTACTAAAGATACAAAAAAAGGTTGCCGGGTGTGGTAGCGCGCCAGGTACTCGAGGCAGGATAATCGCTTGAACTCGGGAGGAGGTTGCAGTGAGCCGAGATCGCGCCATTGCTCTCCAGCCTGGGCGACAGGGCGAGATTCCCTCTCAAAAAAAAAAAAACCCACCTCCGTCGGTTCCGGAAGGCCCCCCTATTCTCTGGCCACGGCGAGAAAGCACCTGCGGTTTCCTGCAGCGCGGGGCTGTGAGGAACTGCCAGGGGTGGGACGCGGGCGCGGGGCCTGCGGCAACGCTGAGGCAGAGCCGGGAGTCGGGGCTCGGGTGTGACACAGCTCCCGCGTCTACGGCGCGGGGTCGAGCGCGGGGCACGTACCGTCCTGTCGCGGCCGGACTCTCCTGCCGCTGCCACCTCAGCTTTCGCTCCGTCAGACTCCGGGCAGGCGCACGCAAGATGGAGGCAAAGAAACCGAAAGCCTGGAAGCGGACTTGGTGCTGCTGGGCGATCGCCGTTCGTGGCGCTTCCCTTCCACGCCCCACCCCCTCCCGTGGTCCTTGGATAGCCCTGGACTTTGTCTCAGCTGTTACTGGACGAAAGTCCAGTCGCCGGCGCTCCCTGTGTTAGACCGAGTCCCCACCCCCATCCCCCGTCGGTGAGGCCGCCAGCTCGCCGCCTGCTGCTGTGCCTTGTGTATTCGGTCACCGTGGATGTCGACACAAGTGCCACGCGTTAGGCGTCAACGCTGCGAGTGTTTATGATTGATGTCGGGGAGTCATAGCAAACTGGAACGCGCTTTGTAGTTTTTTTTTTTTTTTTTTGGTTTTTGGTGTTTTGTGTGTGTATGTGTGTGTGTGTCTGTGTGGGGGGGTGGTTTTCTTGTTTTTCTTCTTGAGACAGGGTCTCGCTCTGTCGCCCAAGCTACAGGGCACTGGAGCCATCACGGCTCACTGCAGCCTCGACTTCCCGCGCTCAAGCCATCCAGCCACCTCGGCCTCCCGAGTAGCTGGGACCACAGGTGGCTAATTTTTTTTTTTTTTTTTTAGTAGAGATGGAGTTTCACTGTGTTGGCCAGGCTGGTCTCCAACTCCTGGCCTTAATCCTCTCTCAGGCCGGCCTCCCAAAGTGCTGGGATTACAGGCGTGAGCCACCGCGCCCCACTACGTTTTTATTTATTCCTAATAACTACCTTATTGTTATTCTTAAAGAGCTTCAACTTTTCTTGAAATAACTTTAAACTTACAGGAAATGTGATGAATAAAATACGAAGAGAAACTAACCCCAGGACGGCAGGAAGAGTTCGGGACTCACCCGTAGTGAAACTGAAAATTATTTAAAACAACAAACAACCATTAACCATTTAAAGCCTCTGAAATGGTCCTAAGGGCAAACAGCAAATGAAGAAACATCTGTTTTTTAAAAATCTATGAAAACTCTTGCATCAGAATGCCAGTCTGTCGTATTTAAACCAAACCTCTACCTTTGTTCAGCAAGACAGACTCCACTCCAGACTGCTGCAACCAAGATCCTCTCTCTTCCCAGTAAGAGACCAGCATGTCAGCATTTCTCATCTTGCCCCTAATTACCTGATGCTGAAGCTAGATCCTGGGGGAGTGTGGGGGAGTGTGGTCGAGAGGCGGGAGATTCCTTCATCCATCCAGAAGCTCTACGTTGGGTGCAGTGCTGAGACACAAGAGGAGACTTAGCTCTTTTTCTCCATTACTCTCACACCATATTCACCCCCAACGTTTTCTTTTTCCCATGAGAGTTATATTCCGATTTTGATTAATCTTCAGTACATATGCTATTATAATAATGTAAACGGTAGTCACAGCCAAGTTATGTACCAAACTATAATTACTTTTCCTACACAACTTTTAATTTTTTCTGGAGTTAATAATCGCCTTGTTTTGTTGGCTTTTCCATGTAATTCCTAAACTCACTATCAGTTATTCAAGTTTGGTTTTCTGTTTGTTTTTGAGACAGGATCTCACTTCAGGCTGGAGTGCAGTGACCTGATCACAGCTCACTGCAGCCTCAACGTCCTGGGTTTAAGTGATCCTTCTGCCTCATCCTCCTGAGTAGCTAGGACTACAGGTCCTAGCATGCCACCATGCCCAGCTACGTGTGCCACTACAGGTGCTACCATGCCCAGCTAATTCTGTAAGAAAAATTTTGTAGAAGCAGGGTTCATGGGTTGGGGGATTCTTGCTATGTTGCCCAGGCTGGTTTTTTTGTTTTGTTTTGTTTTGTTTTTTGAGACGGAGTTTCGCTCTTGTTACCCAGGCTGGAGTGCAATGGCGCGATCTCGGCTCACTGCAACCTCCGCCTCCTGGGTTCAGGCAATTCTCCTGCCTCAGCCTCCTGAGTAGCTGGGATTACAGGCACGGGCCACCATGCCCAGCTAATTTTTTGTATTTTTAGTAGAGACGGGGTTTCACAATGTTGACCAGGATGGTCTCCATCTCTTGACCTCGTGATCCGCCCACCTCGGCCTCCCAAAGTGCTGGGATTACAGGCGTGAGCCACCGCGCCCGGCCCCACCCAGGCTGGTTTTGAACTTGCCTCAAGTGATTTTCCTGCCTAGGTCTGTCAAAGCACTGGGATTACAGGCATGAGCCACCACTCCTGGCCATTCTTATTTTTTTGGTACATCAATAAAATTTTATTACAGATCAGCACCTGTCCTTAATTTGGAAATTTTTATACAGGAACACCTAGCTTAGCACTTCCATCACCATCTCCAACCCACCCTATCCCAAGTGAAAGCCGTTTCTGATTGTCAGTGAAACCATCAAAGTGGATTTACCCCAGGCCCACCTTGCATGCCCACTGATTCTTACCACTTCAACACACACCAGTATGACTTCTGACCCAGCATATGCATATGTTATTCCCTGAAGGCTTTTTCTGGCTGACACTGGAAGCCCATATTGTCATCCCACTTGGCAAACCAGTAGGGGCAAGCATTTAACCCCTTTCCCCCTGTGCCATCCCTATCCTTTGGCTTCAGCAGCCCTCAAAGAATGACTGTATATACCTATGTTAACACTTCCACCTGCTGTCCACTTTCCATTTACATCCCCTTACAGTCAGCCACCCCTTGGGTTTAGGGATGTGTATACTTGCAGTACAGTTTGTCCCTGGAGTATGGACTTGGGTAAGAGGCCAATTAGGCCCTGGTGGGAGGCTCAGGGCTCTTTGAGTAGAGACCTTCAGGTCTTGGGTACCCAAAGAGGGTTTTCTGTTTTTGTTTTTTCTGAGACAGAGTCTTGTTCTGTTGCCCAGGCTGGAGTGCAGTGGTGCAATCCTGGCTCACTATAACCTCCACCTTCCAGGCTCAAGAGATTCTGTTGCCTCAGCCTCCCGAGTAACTGGGATTATAGACAAACACCACCACATCTGGCTAATTTTTGTATTTTTAGTAAAGACAGGGTTTTGCTATGTTGTCCAGGCTGGTCTTGAACTCCTGGCCTGAAGTGATCTGCCCGCCTCAGCCTCCCAAAGTGCTGGGATTATAGGCAGGAAGGCATGAGCCACTGGATCTGGCCCCAAAGAGCGTTTAAAAACAAGGTCTCTGTGTGGGCATGTCCTCTTGACCTTGCAGCTTCCTCCCACTTCTGATCATTCTCTCCGCCTGAGGGAAGGGTACAGTTCAAGAAGAGCTGGAGCGAGGTCCTTCTAAATCAGGGCTTACAACAGGACCCCCCAGTTGCCTGGGTCCAAGGGGAGTATTGCTTAAGCCTCTCTGACTTTCCTTTTCCACCCTTAACAAAGTAGCAGCAAATGTTCACATTTTCATCAAATCCAGTGGTTGTAAACCTTGGCTGCACATTAGCCTGTTCCCAAGGAGCTTTAAAAACCGCAATGGCCAGATAGCATTCCAGACTAATTAAATCAAAATCTCTGAGAATGAGACTCAGGGATTGGTAGTTTTTAAAGCTCCCTGTATGATTTTAATGTACAATTAAGATTCAGAACAACTGATCTAATCCAAACATTTTCTCATTCCCTCAACCACAACCCAATTTTCAGATGAAGAATCTGAGGCTTAAAATGAGTTAATAAATTGAGAAATCTCACAACTAGCTAGTGGCAGAACTAGGACAGAATTCCAAGAATTTATCTAATGCTTTTCCTAACATCACAGTGGGTGACTTAGAAAGTGGAGAATTAATAACTATAGCAAAGACTTTATATCTACTCTCTTAGTCACACCTCCTGCCTCAACTCCTCTGACATTCTGGGAGAATATATTCATGGCTGGGTATGGTGGCTTATGCCTATAATCCCAGCATTTTGGGAAGCCAAGGCAGAAGGAAAACTTGAACCCAGGTGTTCAAGACCAGCCTGGGCAATCTAGGGAGATCCTGTCTCTACAAAAAATTTAAAAATTAGCCAGGTGTAGTGATGCACACATGTGGTCCCAGCTACTCAAAAGGCTGAAGTGGGAGGATCACTTGAGCCAGGAAGGTTGAGGTTGCAGTAACCCATAAGCATAGTATTGCATTTCAGCTTGGATGACAGAGTGAAACCCTGTCTCATATATATATATATATTTAGTTTAAAAAGAATACATTCTCGGGCTGGGCATGGTGGCTCACGCCTATAATCCAAGCACTTGGGAGGCCAAGCGGGCAGATCACCTGAGGTCAGCAGTTCAAGACCAGCCTGACCAACATGGTGAAACCTGGTCTTAAAAAAAAAAAAAAAAAGAATATATTCTTGAGAAGAATAAATAAACACATAATTCTAATATGCTGGTGCTATGGTTTGGATATTTGCCCCTCTAAACCTCATGTTGAAATTTGATCCCCAGTGTTGGAGGTAGGCCTAATGGGAGGTATTTGGGTC